AAAGAAAATTCACAGAGCCAAAGGTGTCCATAGGTGAATAAACAGCCGAATCCTGCTGCCGTGCGGTTTTAATATCAGTCTTGGACTGCTGCAGCAGTAACATGTGTGTTGTCAGATCTTCATCCAGTACAGACCGATGCTAAGCAGCATTAGCATGCTGGTCAAAAACAACATTGCGGCTTACGGAGACTCTGTTAGCGTGACTGAACGAGCCAAAGTTAGGCCCACACATTTAATCAAGTTTTTACCACGCGACTGCGTCCCATCCCATTGTTTCTACCTTCGTCTCCGAGTGTGGTTTGGATGGTGATGATGTTGCCATGCTCCGCTTGGTCGGTAACTGTTGCTGCCGTATTATTATTTTCTTCAGTCATGTCGTTCCAGACCTCCGTCTCTGTCGCAACGCTTCAACAGGGAAAACATGGCGGATTTACGACCTCGTAGTCATAACAACAAAAGGGCGGCTCGGGGAGGGAGAACGAGCACGTCAAAATAGATTCAAAATAAAGGCGCGCTCATTCTATGGATACAACTCTGCTGCGGGAAACTGCACTTAGATCAAAAACTTTCATCTGCATTAGGCAAATATCCTCCTGCCTTTCTGATTTTAGGTGGTGACTTTAACATAGTAATGAATAACATGTTAGCTCGACACCCTCCGGAAGCAGCTTCTTCAAACTCAAATCTTATAGCGTTTATGGGTACATTTGATGTAGTTGATGGTTGATATATGGAGAGGAATGTACCCGGATGTAATACAGTACACTTGGTGTAACAAAGACCGTTCAAGGCAATCCAGAATCGATTATTAGTTGATCTCTAAAACATTAATAAATAATAATATCTCTATTAATATTAGCAACAGTCCACTGACTGACCATAATGCCATTTATATTTCAATTAATTTATCACAAAATACTACAATTAATAGCCTACTTCTAAAGCATCGCTTTGGAAACTAAACAATTCTCTTCTTAAATATGAAAAGGTCAAACAGCAGATTGATGAGTTAATCAAACTTACTGGGAAAGGGCTGAATCAGAAAGTGTCCTCTACTTGGTTCCTTCTCATAAATGAGTAAGCGGCATTTAAAACAATTATAAACATATAATACACACTTTTTCTCAATATTTAATTACAGCTTCAGATGCATTATATTTTCATCTCCTTCAAGCAGGATACACAAAAAGCACGTTCAACTTGGATGGTTGTCATGGTAATGAACACCGTAAACAGCAACCATTCACATGTCAGCGCTTAATGCGCATATATATGAATAGCATTTTAGGGGGCCCTTGGCTTTTGGGGGCCCAAGGCGGTCGCCTACCTTTGCCTAATGGGTAAGTCCACCTTATTTTTAGTTAGTAAAAAAATAATGAAAAGGCAATTATACATTTACACACCTAAGGATTATATCAACCAAAAAAGTAACTGCGTATGTGTTCTCTACTTGGTTCCTTCTCATAAATGAGTAAGCGGCATTTAAAACAATTAAAAACATATAATACACACTGTTTCTCAATATTTAATTAGATTAATATTTACAGCTTCAGATGCATGATATTTTCATCTCCTTCAAGCAGGATACACAAAAAGCACGTTCAACTTGGATGGTTGTCATGGTAATGAACACCGTAAACAGCAACCATTCACATGTCAGCGCTTAATGCGCATATATATGAATAGCATTTTAGGGGGCCCTTGGCTTTTGGGGGCCCAAGGCGGTCGCCTACCTTTGCCTAATGGGTAAGTCCACCGAATTTATCACAAAATACTACAATTAATACTTCTAAAGCGTCGCTTTGGAAACTAAACAGTTCTCTTCTTAAATATGAAAAGGTCAAACATCAGATTGATGAATTAATCCAAATTTACTGGGAAAGGGCTGAATCAGAACAAGCTTATGGACGGAATTGGGAGCTTCTAAAATATGAATTAGGGAAATTCTTAAGAAAATTTGGAAGTAATATAACAAAACAAAATAGATTAATTGAAGATGAAGTTCTTTCACAGCTTTCTGCTTTATCATTTAGGGAACCATTGACAGATACTCAAAACACTGAATACTCTAAACTACAGAATAAATTAGATGAGTTGTACAGATCCAAAGCTAAGGGCTGGAAGAAGGAGAACAGAACCTATTTCTTTAGGTTGGAAAGATCCAATGCTATATGTTTCTATTGATCGTCTCTGAACAAATGATAGAGTTCTTGATAATCCTACAGAAATAGCTGCTTATTGTTCCAAATTCTATAATAACTTATATACATCAAGATATTGTGATAATTCAGCCAACTCGTTTTTTTGACTCTGTCAATCAAAATAAAGCTATTTAAGATAAAGAAGCTTCGGTGATATATCTCAATCAGAAATTCTACAGGCAATTAAGAGTTTAAAAAATAATAAATGTCCGGGCAGTGATGGTCTAATTGCTGAACTGTATAAGATGTTTGACAAAAATGTATCTCTTTTCTTATTAAGTGTTCAAAGAAAGTCTTGAATTGGAAGCACTTCCACCAACCATGACATAAGGAGTCATCACCCTGATACCCAAACCCAACAAAGATAAAGAGTGTCTAGAAAACTGGAGGCCAATCACCCTCTTAAATAATGATTTTGCGTATCAATACCACGAGTTTTCGTTTTTATTTGGCGTACTATTTATACGCATTTTCATGAGACCGGGCTCGAATAATACAAGATTAGTTTTAGATCTTCTAGATTACGAGAATCTCGTTCCTAATGACAGTTTTGCTTGTCTTAGACTTCTAGCCTTTGATTCGCTTGAGCACAAGTTCATAGTTCAAGCTCTTGCCAAATTTGGGTTTGGAGATTATTTCTGTAAAGCCATCAGGACATTATGCAGAAATAATAATAATAGTGTTATTAAGTTAAAATTCGGAACCTCACCCAGATTCGATTTGTCAGGTGGAGTAAGACAAGGCTGTCCTATATCTCCATATCTATTCTTACTTGCCTCTCAGTTTAGCTCTGCATATTTCCACTAATACTGGTGGCAGTGATGGTCTAATCGCTGAACTGTATAAGATGTTTGACAAAAATGTATCTCTTTTCTTATTAAGTGTTCAAAGAAAGTCTTGAATTGGAAGCACTTCCACCAACCATGACATAAGGAGTCATCATTATTAGCCAGCTGGCTGACGACACTACTTTATTTCTGAATGACGCCTCCTAAATCCCTTTAGATTGATTGAGTCCTTTTCCAGAGCTTCGGGTCTCTGCCTAAATATCAACAAATGTGAGTTAATCAAACGCTGTGATGTTCCCTCTATATGTAACATTCCTGTGAAAGATCAAGTTACATACTTAGGAATTGTAATTAATAAAGGCCAAAAAGCAAGATGTAATCTAAATTTCGACACTCTAATAGTGAAAACCCAAAGAAAACTTAACTCGTGGCTGCAGAGAGATTTATCAATAAGAGGAAGAATTTTCCGCTGCATATCCAATCAATAAACCATCCTGTTTTGCACTTACCTGTTGTTTCTGGCCTTGCTTTGTGACAACTATATTCCAAAGCATAAGATTGTACTTTTTACTTCACTACATTTCATAAAACATATCGTTACGAGATGCAGAAGCGGTGTTTATATACTTCAAGATATTGTGACAATTCAGCCAAATTGTTTTTTGACTCTGTCAATCAAAATAAAGTTATTTCATTAGAAGATAAAGAAGCTTGTGACGGCGATATCTCTCAATCAGAAATTCTACAGGCAATTAAGAGTTTAAAAAATAATAAAAGTCCAGGAAGTGATGGTCTAACCGCTGAGCTGTATAAGATGTTTGACAAAAATGTATCTCCTTTCTTATTAAAAGTGTTCGAAGAAAGCCTTGAGTTGGAAGCACTTCCACCAACCATGACACAAGGAGTCATCACCCTGATACCCAAACCCAACAAAGATAAAGAGTGTCTAGAAAACTGGAGGCCAATCACCCTCTTAAATAATGATTACAAAATTTTAGTTTTAGCAAGAATTAAAGATGTCCTTAACTCTATTGTTGACGAATCACAATCAGGCTTTATGGAGAAACGTCACATTACGAATAATCACCGTAATCAAATTATCAGTGCGTATAAATAGTACGCCAAATAAAAACATATCAACAAATGTGAGTTAATGTCAATCAAACGCTGTGATCTTTCCTCTATATGTAACATTCCTGTGAAAGATCAAGTTACATACTTAGGAATTTTAATTAATAAAGACCAAAAAACAAGATGTAATCTAAATTTCGACCCTCTATAGTGAAAACCCAAAGAAAACTTAACTCGTGGCTGCAGAGATTTATCAATAAGAGGAAGAATTTTACTCACTAAAGCCGAAGGATTGTCTGGACTGACTTATGCTGCTCTTTCCTTGGAGGTTGATAAAGGAACTAGAGTTCTTGATAATCCTAAAGAAATAGCTGCTTATTGTTCCAAATTCTATAATAACTTATATACATCAAGATATTGTGATAATTCAGCCAACTCGTTTTTTGACTCTGTCAATCAAAATAAAGTTATTTCATTAGAAGATAAAGAAGCTTGTGATGGCGATATCTCTCAATCAGAAATTCTACAGGCAATTAAGAGTTTAAAAAATAATAAAAGTCCGGGCAGTGATGGTCTAACCGCTGAGCTGTATAAGATGTTTGACAAAAATGTATCTCCTTTCTTATTAAAAGTGTTCGAAGAAAGCCTTGAGTTGGAAGCACTTCCACCAACCATGACACAAGGAGTCATCACCCTGATACCCAAACCCAACAAAGATAAAGAGTGTCTAGAAAACTGGAGGCCAATCACCCTCTTAAATAATGATTACAAAATTTTAGCTTTAGTTTTAGCAAGAAGAATTAAAGATGTCCTTAACTCTATTATTGATGAATCACAATCAGGTTTTATGGAGAAACGTCACATTACGAATAATATAAGATTAGTCTTAGATCTTCTAGATTACGAGATTCTCGTTCCTAATGACAGTTTCCTGCTTTTCCTAGACTTCTACAAAGCCTTTGATTCGCTTGAGCACAAGTTCATATTTCAAGCTCTTGACAAATTTGGGTTTGGAGATTATTTCTGTAAAGCCATCAGGACCTTATACAGAAATAATAATAGTGTTATTAAGTTAAAATTCGGAACCTCACCAAGATTCGATTTGTCACGTGGAGTAAGACAAGGCTGTCCTATATCTCCATATTTATTCTTACTTGCCTCTCAGTTCTTAGCTCTGCATATTTCCACTAATAATTTACAAGGTATCACAATTGACGATAGACAAATTATTATTAGCCAGCTGGCTGACGACACTACTTTATTTCTGAATGACGCCTCCTAAATCCCTTTAGATTGATTGAGTCCTTTTCCAGAGCTTCGGGTCTCTGCCTAAATATCAACAAATGTGAGTTAATCAAACGCTGTGATGTTCCCTCTATATGTAACATTCCTGTGAAAGATCAAGTTACATACTTAGGAATTTTAATTAATAAAGACCAAAAAACAAGATGTAATCTAAATTTCGACCCTCTATAGTGAAAACCCAAAGAAAACTTAACTCGTGGCTGCAGAGAGATTTATCAATAAGAGGAAGAATTTTACTCTCTAAAGCCGAAGGATTGTCTCGACTGACTTATGCTGCTCTTTCCTTGGAGGTTGATAAAGGAACATTAAAAAGAATTGATAGCATGTTAAACAATTTTGTTTGGAAAAATAAAACTCACTATATTAGGAAATCTGTAATAATGAACCCAACAAAACAGGGGGGACTGGATTTTGTAGATTTTACTACTTTAAATAATACTTTTAAACTTAATTGACTCAAGAATTTCCTTAAAAATCCCTCCTCACTTTGGAATTTTATCCCAAATTATATTTTTTCTAAAGTTGGTGGCCTGAATTTCCTATTATAATGTTTTAAAAATCCCTATCAAACTTTCTAATTTCCATAAGCAGATGCTCTTGGCCTGGTCCTTAATACACAAACACAACTTTTCTCCACACAGATATTATTTATGGAACAATAAGGATATTCTTTACAATAATAAATCACTTTTCTTCGACGACTGGTTCGAAAACAATCTTCTTTTAGTTGGACAGCTTTTTAATTCACAAGGCAGATTTTACAACTACTCGGATTTCTTACAAAAATATAATATTTGTATCTGCTGATGAATTATGCTGTTGTTTTCAACGCCATTCCCTCTGGTGTGTCTTTTCTGTTGCATGGCCTTGTACTTACACTCTGAATTTAACTGACACAATGATCGGAAGTGTTTGCTTTTCTGCAGATCAACAAACAATAACAACTTTTCCAGAGAGAGATAACAACAATTCCTTGCATAATACCTTACTGGAATAATATTGTGGAGAATATACCTTGGGAGAAAGTATGGACCTTGCCTCATAGATATCTGCTTACTAATAAAGTAAAAGAAATAACATTTAAGTTGATTCACAAATATTATAATGTTTTAAAAATCCCTATCAAACTTTCTAATTTCCATAAGCAGATGCTCTTGGCCTGGTCCTTAATATACAAACACAACTTTTCTCCGCACAGATATTATTTATGGAACAATAAGGATATTCTTTACAAGAATAAATCACTTTTCTTTGACAACTGGTTCGAAAACAATCTTCTTTTAGTTGGACAGCTTTTTAATTCACAAGGCAGACTTTACAACTACTCTGATTTCTTACAGAAATATAATATTCCTGTATCTGCTGATGAATATGCTGTTGTTTTCAATGCCATTCCCTCTGGTGTGTCTTTTCTGTTGCAAGGTCCTACACTTCCATGGCCATGTACTTACACTCTGAATTTAACTGACACAATGATCGGAAGTGTTTGCTTTTCTGCAGATCAACAAAAAATAACTATAAAATTAGAGCTCTTTTACAGAGAGAGATAACAATAATCCCTTACATAATACCTTATTGGAATAGCATTGTGGAGAATATACCTTGGGAGAAAGTATGGACCTTGCCTCATAGATATCTGCTTACTAATAAAGTAAAAGAAATAACATTTAAGTTGATTCACAAATGTCACCCAATGCTTCCTAAGCATTTCTTAGGAATTATAAGTCTGTTTTTGTCATTCTTCTGAAGAAGACTTCATTCATTTATTTTGGCAATGAAATTCAATTTAAAATGCAATATGCAAAATGGCAATGCAATATGCAAAATTGCAACGCAATATTCAAAATGGCAATGTATTTCTGTATTTAAATTGACATGTTCCATTACCTATACGTGCAAAGTTTTTTTTTGCAACACCTTTAAAGACTTATTCCGGGAAGTACAGCAGGATGCAGGAAATGGTTGAGTATTATTTTAGGTATAAAATATCATTATTGTAATGCTTGTAATGTTTACACAGCAGCTTGGCTCCTTAAATG